TTGAGATTCAATCCTCTCGTTCTGAGCATCAGAAGTTCCTCCTGTTTTACTGCTAAGGCCTTCTATTGTATACACACACCACGTTTTGTCTTGTGTTAGCCATTCAGCAGGGAAGGCCATTGGGTTGTTCTGAGTTTGGAGCAGTTATAAATAAAATCACCACAAATTCTGGCCTTGGTTTTTATGGAAATATAAATTTTATTTCTCTTGGGTAATTATTTAAGAATAAGATTTCAAGGAAAAATAGTAAATGGATGTTTAAGGTTTTTTAAAGAAACAACTAATCTGTTTTCCAAAGTGGCTGTAATGATTTTGCGTTCCYATCAGCAAAAAGTGAGAATTCTAGTTGCTCCACATCCTTGATAGTACTTGGTATTGGCAGTTATGGTTTTTATTTTAGCCACTCCAAGATCTGTGAAATGGAAGCTCATTTTGTTTTTAATTTGCATTTCCCTAATGATTGATGATGAGTGTCTTTTCATGTGCTTACTTATTGTCCATGGGACTTAAGTAAGCACATGAAATGTCTTACTTAAGTCCAAATATTTTGTCCATTTTTAAATCAGATTGTCTATTTTCTTATTACTGATTTTGGGATATTTTTAATATTCTGGATAGAATTTCTTAATCACGTATGAGTTTTTAATTGGCTCTTTTTAGTTATACRTGACTGTAGGGTTCATTTTGACATAATCATTATTATGGCCTAGCTTAGTAAGCACCCTATAGATTATAGGATGTCAGTAAATAAGACACAGTAAAATTATAGGATAAGTAATACTAAGTTATTCTGGTTATAAGTTAAAGAACTCAGCCTAAGTAACTCCATTTTAAAAAAGAAACCATCTTGATTAGAATGGGCAGTTAACCTAATTAAGAAACTTTAATTACCACAACCCCTGCCCAACCGCAAATGTCACCCCACCCCTAACAAAAAGTCCGCAATGCTTGCTATAGACAGTGACAACACTGTAGAGGTTCGCCTAATTGCTCATTTTAGCTTCTGTAACTGAACTTGCTTTGTAACTGAGCTTGCCTGCTCTGTGCAATTGCAGACCCCTACGCATGGGGGAAGTGGTGTTTATGTATACAGGAAGGTGGGCACTGCACCCTGAACAGCGTCTTGCTAAGGGGCAGTCGCAGGCCAGCTAAATAAAGACCCTCCAGTTTGGACAAAATTCGGACTCAGAGTGTTTTCTGAGCAGTGGGCACCCAACAATTATAAAAGTGCAGAATATGATTTGTTCTCATTCAGTCCCCAGTACTCCCCCATTGCCTCCCCATCCCTCTCCCCCATTCCCTTTTCCCTRCTGATCTTTCAAATAAAACTATAAGTAAATATCACATATGTGTTTTTAAAATATTTTCTATAAGTCTGTAAGTTTCATTTGCATTTTCTTAAGTGCCTTTGAAAAGCAGAATTTTTAAATTTTGATGAAGTCTAATATTTTCTTTTTGAAATATGCCTTTGTCATAGCTGAAGATTTTTTACATAATCAAAGTTATGAAAATATTTYCTCTTGTGTTTACACTAGAAGTTGGGTGGTTTGTGTTTCACATTTGGTCTATTATTGGGTTAATTTACATATAACTCCACCTTGAGCTGATCTCTAGATAGGAATAGGCAAGACCTTTCTAAGCCTATGGATGCCCAAGTGTTTCAGTACCATTTTAGAAATGACTGTTGCCTTTGCTTAAAATAATTTAATCATCTATTCTGGATCTAATTTTGGACTCAGTATGTCATAGATTCACCTCTTCTTTGGGAAAAGCATCTTTCTCTCACTATTTAAGTCCAAGATTAACTTGTTGTTGTTGTTCATGTCTTTAACACATTGAGGATGTTTGCCTTCTATTCCTTGCTTTCTAAGAGTTTTTATCATGAATTGTACTGGATTTTGTCAAAGGCTTTTTTCTGCTTTTGTTAAGATGATTCCATACTTGTAGTCTCCCTTTATTCGACATGAGCGCAGTATGTCTCCTTAGAATCGCTGTCCTGTCTGAATTTTTCTACAGTTACAAAAATGGGTTTGATTTTACAAATCATGCATATCTTTATRATGTGTGATCTGGCTACGAATTGATTTCCTCAGCCTCTGAGTCCAAGACGAGATCACCGTCACTTCCCTTGTCCAAGTCACCGTCGCTGAAAGGACCCACCACTCGAGCAGTCACAAGCCAGTTCCATGTGATGCTTTAGAATCTACAAAGGGATGTGTGCCCTGTCACAGAAGCCAGTCGGACAGCTCCCGTGAGTCACAGTCCATCCAGCGCTGCCTCTCCTGCCCCAGCTCACAGCCTCCACGTCCACCCCTCTCCTCTCCTGAGTCACCCAGAAACTGGGGAGCTGACCCACCATGGAGATTGGCCTTGCTCTTCAGATATTGTTGCCTGTGGACTCARGACTGTGCCTGTTGAAACCAAAAGGGGTCTTTGTATTTGCTTCTCTTGAACAGTCTAGAAATGCCGTCCATTTCAGCAGACTGCTGAGCCCCYGATGAGGTCAGCTTTGCTCTTCCTCCACAGAACCTGTCATTTGTACTGCACACACACCACAGTGGCAATTCGTTATTTGCTGTGTCCCCTGCTGGCTGATGACCAGCACCCTTGTGCAGGCTGATGGTACCTCCTTCCTCCACACCTGCGTTCCTGCTGCTGAGCACAGTGGCTGACCCACAGCTGACGACACTTGGTGTTAGCTGAAGGGTGATTGACTGAGCCAGAAGAAATTCAGGAGAACGGGTGGATGACAGCCAAGAGTAGGATCTGGTCTGTGGGAGAAAGGAAAWGGGTGATATCCCCATCCTGCTCATTCCTGGAGGCTAGACGAGACTTTCTTGAGGAAACCTGAGTCCTGGCAGCAGCACCTCCATTAGGCTGGTCTCTTCCTCCTGGTGACCATCGACACCAAAATGCCTTTGGGTAACTACTGTGGGACAAAAGCTGTAAACTAGGACCCTCTGGGTAAACCGGAGACTCACCCCATCCATAAAGCATTGTCCAAGCCTTGCCCTGCCCAACGAAGCTGACCAGGAAAAAAAGAGGCATTTCCACTCTTCTCTCCGTGTTCACCCTCATCGTAAGTCTGCATGGAAAATGGTGTCCATCTTCCTGACTCAGTTTCTCCTTTCCAATCAAGAACCTATTTACGGGCTCCTCCAACATGAGGGAAAGGGTTGACAAACCAACAGGAGGCTGAGGCTGCACACAGGGCCCCGGGGGGATCAGGACAATGTCAGGGTGCAAATCCCCTCCCCCGCTGTGCTCCCCACCCCTCCCCCTGAGCTGCGTCCTAAGGTCACTGCGAGTCCTTCCCCATGGGGTCATGAGATAACTCATAGGATCTCGGTTTCAGAGTGGGAGAGTCCTCGGAGGGAGTGAGAAAACACAAGTGTCTGAAGGTAGGAAGTAGTTCTCTAGGTTTCAATGTCATAAAGAATAAAGGACATTTGCTATAAAAATATTTCACTCAAAATATCATATAAAATAGTACTAATAGTGTAAAAATGTAACCAATTGTGTCCACTGCTTATTACCTGCTTTTCACCAAGTAACACTAAGCCATCAAYGTTTTTATCCACAAGAAAATATAAACCCAGGATAGAATATTATTTTAATAACAAAAGGTATTTAAATGACAGGTGAATTATTAAAGTTTAATTACAGCCTTAATTATATTTYTTCTTTGACCACAGCATGATGTGACAATTATTCAGATAGGCAAAGAGATTTTAGATTACATGGATTTACTAAAATCAAACAGAAGGTTTTTTAGCTCTGAATGATCCACTTATTTGTCCACCGAACGCTAAGGGGCCCCTTAGTGCTCAGAAAATCAGGTGCCTCCTGGATGGCATGAGGGGCTTCCACCAAACAAGCCCACACWTTGCCCACGGCTTCCCCACTGCCAGGAGCTCGCAGGCCACCGTGGACGACACCTGGAGGCCACGGCCATGGGTTAGCCTGGAGACTTTGTGCACATTATRTTACAAAACTTACCGCTTGGAATTTAAAAATAACAATAGAAGGGAGATCMGTAGGGCAMAGGAAGGGGATTAGGGGAGGGAGAGGGAAGGGAGAGGGAGGAACTGGGGAATGGCCCACAGATTATGTCACGTGCATGGATGAATGTGTCACAAGGAACTCACTCTTGTGGACAACCAGAAAGCACCAATAAAGAGCMTTACAAAGAAAGAGAAGGGAGGAAGGAGAGAAGAGACGGAGTGAGGGGGAAGGGGCAGGCCCTCGGGTAAGCCCGTGGGAGGTGTTGGGACAGTCCCGCTTCCTGGAGKTTCCAGGAAAAGGCTGGAAACCTCGTCCTGGGCATGTGCCCAGCTGTCACCTCCCYTAGTTGTGAAAGCAGCAGCTCAGGTGACGCATCACAAACCGCGTGTAGGATAAAAGGGCTGCTGCCCTGGGCTCCCCATCCACAGCCTCCACAGACCAGCCTCCTCCTGCATCCTCTGTACCAGGTGAGTGCCCAGCAGGGAGTGGGCCCAACTGGAGGTGTGGGAAGGTCAAGGTCACAGAAAGGGGAAGGGACATGGTGAGGTCTAAAACAGAAGAGTACTGAGGGGGCAGAAGTGAGAAGAAGTGAGGTCAGGAGTGAGCCCCCGTGGGACACGGCAAGAATTCTATGAGCTGAGAGGCCACGGGAACTCCGATTCCCTCCCACCCCCTTTCTGCTCAAGTCTCTTGTGTTTCCTGTGACATCTCATCCGCCCTCCAGAATGCTTTTCCCTGTAAAGAGACGCAACCCACCAGGGTTCTTTGGAGATATGAAAACTTGGTTGTCCAGTTAGATTGACAGCAGCCATCCTGGGTGGAGAGTAAAGTGTGAGGCGACTGCTGTGACCCCACCAGCCGCCGTCACAGCAGCGTCCCTTGCCCTCCTGCTGCTCCTGGCTGGGAGGCAGCTGGCCTTCCAGGAGGGGAGGGGTGGCCAGAGCTTTATACTGACCTTATCTTTGGTCCATGCAGGCTCGCTGACTCCCGTGGAGATGTCCTTCCAGCAGAACCAGCAGCAGTGCCAGCCCCCTCCCAAGTGCCCCTCACCCAAGTGTCCCCCCAAGAGCCCAGCACAGTGCCTGCCTGTGGCCTCTGGCTGTGCTGCGAGCTCCGGGGGCTGCGCTGGCCCCAGCTCCGAGGGCGGCTGCTTCCTGAGCCACCACAGCCACCACAGGTCCCACCGATGCCGTCGCCAGAGCTCCGACTCCTGTGATGGTGGCCGCGGTCAGCAGTCTGGGGGCCCTGGCTGTGGCCACAGCTCTGGGGGCTGCTGCTGACCTGGATCCTGATGCAGAGACAAGGGATTTCAGGAAACAAGAATCCAGAGCCCAGGGAAGCCCCGTCCTGACRCACCTTCCCAGACACCCTGCTCTGGCTCCCACAGGCTGGGGGGGGGGGGGCTCCTGTCCAGGGTCCAAACTCTCCAGAGGCTCTTTCTGTCTCGTGTCCAGGGTCCCACAGTCCCCCACCCTTCCCCTGCTGGGTACTCTAATRCTCTGCACTCTTCCCTGACCTGACCCTGTCCAAAAATAAAGCTCCTGGTCCCCATCACCACTGGTGGCTCACTGTCCTTCACTGCGCCTCCCCCAGGTGGCTGGTGTGTGCCCTCCCCCTGCCCCTCGAATCCAGAACTTCCCCCAGGGGGTGCAGGGCCATCGCTCTAGACTGGTCATAAAATAAAGTCGTGTCATTTGCTGGCACATGGATGAGACGTGAGGACATCAAGCTAAGTGGAAGGAGCCGGACGGGGAAAGTSGAGGCTCTCTGTTCTCTCTCCTAGGCAGAGGCTGGAGAGAACAGGGAATTTTAAAGGGGGCTGGGGGTCCCATGAAAATAGAATAGAGAACAGTAAAGTGGCAGAAGGGTTCGAGGGGGAGGGAGGAGAGATGGGACAGGGGAGGAACGACAGGATGAAACTGACCAAATATGCTCTGTGCATGTGTGAACATCTCACAGTAAATCCCATTTTTATGTTTCTCTATAATACACCAATAAAAATGATAAACTAATAAGAGATCAAAAGAGTTCCAGAAGGGGACCAGGGAGAGGGAGAGGGAGGAGGGGGAAGAAAGGGGGAAATACTGGAGACTGGAAAGGAGCAGATTATATGCAGGTATGAAATGGCYGAGTGAACCCCATTGTTGTGTATGACTGTGATGCACCAATAAAAACAGGGAGAACTGGGGACCTGCCAGGCCTTATGTGCTGGATCTGTGTCCAGCAGGGGAGAGGAGGATGGACTAAAGCCTCCAAAAAGGAATGACGTATTCTATGAAAACACATCTCCTGGTGAACTCCCCGGSCTCTTATACAGAGCTTCCATTCACTTTCAACTAACTGTTTTGGCATTTCAATTTAAAAATGTGAATTTTTAGTAGGCAAGTATATATATGTTACATATATATTATATATAGAAGGCTATTTATGTTATAATAATTATATATACTATATAAATATATAATAGATATAAATTATACATATATATATATATATATATATTGCTGTTGTTAAGATAGAATAAGCCCTTTTTTTTTCAGTTGGGGGGAATTTGATCCTCCAAAGGACATCTGGAAATACCTAAGGACATTCTGGGTTGTCAAAACTTGAGCTCAGAAAGAGTGCTACTGGCATTTAGTGGGCAGAGGCCAGGGGTGCCCCTGCACATCCTACCACAGAATTATCAGTCCCCAAATACCAACAGTACAAAGGCTGAAAAGAAAACCTGACTATAATTAAAATATAGGAAAAGGAAGGGTTACACACAAGAATAGATGACTCCATCTATCAATAAAAATTCCACAGAGATATCGGAGAGATAACCAGTTAAAGCTAATAATGTTGTGGATCAGTGGAGGAGATAGGCTGAGAGTTTAAAATGTGCAAGAATGTGGAGAGTTTTGCTAGAATTGTGAATTAATATGATTGCACACTCAAAAATTGTTAGTGCTTATCATGTGCTAGGAATCCCTGAGAGACTATAATTCTCATTTAATTCTCTGTAAGCAATCTGTTCTCTTAATAACTACATTTGTACAAATGGAGAAATTATAGATTCTAATAATTTTATACCAGGATCCAGTAAACAGGCTCTGGGCCACTTGCCATTCCCCTTCCCTTGAACTTTTCAAGACATSGTTAAAACCGTTGGGTCTTTTCCACTTAACATTTATTTTGGCCTGTTGAACTTTGTGGTTTGATTTGTTTTTATTTGATATTTTTTTTTAATCTGCAGAACTAATAGCTCAACACATGAGTCATAACTTCAGTAAAACTTTTTAAAAATTTATTTTTGTCCCCATATTTGGGAACTAAAATGTGAAACTTGAATGCCTCCTAGGCTGAAATCATCTCCTTAGGTGTGAGCCTCATCCACTCCACCTGCCAGGGGTGGAGATACTGGAATAAAGGAGTAGTCCATCAAAGGCAGGCAGAACAAGCCCAAGGGATGTCTAGAACTGAATTAGATTCCAACACTGAAACTGAGGGAGAAACTGATATGAGGCTGGTATACCAAGTGAAAAAATAAATCTATGGAGCACTTTTAGGATTTGTTGAATCCAAAATCAGAAAAGTTCCTTAAGTCCAACCATTTTCACTTCAACATCCAAAGACTCAGAATTTCCAAAATATTTGGAGTTTAAGGGGGGAAAAAAAGAACTTTCAAGGAGTGATGTGTGATACACTCTGACCAGGTAGATCTACTGTCCGGTCAGYGTCATCCCCTGAGTTGGAAACACAGCTGCCAAGCTTAAATTCATTACCACAAGCTGCCTCACACTTGAAACTTGAGAAATTCCTGGGTAGCACTCCACCACGGGACAGAAATTGGGAAAGGAATGTTGAAAATGTACCTCAAAAAATGTCCAGGCTGGGTGAGGTTGGCTGGGAGGTTGGACTTGCCGCCATGTGTGGGGTCTCGCCAGATGACCCGAGAGTCACGAATCCCACCGATCTTGACAGAGCGGCTTCACTAGTCCAGAACTGAGGGTCAGTTTGTGAAGAGTGGCTGGAACTCATGGACTACGCTGCTAACTGTGCATTAGCTACAAGAGGAAGAACTCAGCCTTGGAGGAAGTAAAGCCTGTCATCCACCRAGGATCACAGAACAAAGGCTGAAGGTTCAGAAGCACCTGCCAAGTCTAYGCTCTCAAGGCCAAAGTGCGATTTTTTTTTGCAATCGGGGGTCCACTAGGAAGGGAGAAGAAACAGGAGTCAGACCAAGAAATAAAGCTGGGATCTGCAACACCAGGACAATCTAAGTCATGCCATTCACACTGTTCTGACCTCAAAAGGTGAGAGAGCTCAATGAGTGGGGAGATAACCCGATTCCCATCAGGAAACCACCTCCACCCAGTCCAGGATCCAACAATTAATAATTCATTCATTCAAAAACTCTTTCCAAGTTTGGTGACCTGTGCTACCTGGGAGGCTGATATAGGAGGATTACTAAATTTGAGGCCACCCTCAGCAATTTRGCAAGACCCTGTCTCAAAAATTAAAAAAATAAATAAATAAAAAGGGCTGGGAGTAAATATCTCAGTAGTAGAGCACTTCTGGGTTTAATTCCAAGTAACACACACACATACACACACACACTCACACAATATTGAGCTTCTGCTAAGCCCAGACACCACTGTAGGTGCTRAAGWTACAGGGAGAACCAGAATAAGGMGGSATTCTAGGGAAACTTCTGACCTGGTGAATCTATTCAAGACAATTTATTTGCACAACAGCAGAGTAGGGTACGATCATCCCTAATTCTAGTGGATTTCCTAGTGGAAATTGGAGACAGAAATGCAGGTTTGAGAAACACAGCGAAGGACCCTCGCCTGGAACAGAATTGAGTGGCTCTGCTGGTGGCAAAAGGCTCCTGTGATGACATCTTGCTTTCATCCTAAGGCAGCCATGGGGAGGACACGAGGGTGACAGAGGATGACGGTGCATGCCCTTCCTCCTTCCTCCAAGTCCCAGTGTGTGCGTGGGTGGGGTGTTGCACCTGTACCAGGAAGGCCGTCAGCTCCCTACCTCAACACGGGGSCCAGAGTGTAGGACCCCAGAGCAGGATAAATCGATGCATATACTGTAATAATAAAATGATCAAAACCACGTTTTAATTGCATGTGTCATATGAGAGATTTGTCCTAGTCTTAGGTTGATTGTGCTCTAGAAGAAATGCTTCTCTGCTCTACAGTAAATACAACAGGAGAATCCTCCATGTCACCTTGAATGCAGTTCCACAGACGTTAGCCCGTCACCCCAGGGCACTGCGTCAGTTGTACACAGTGGCACTCCCAGGTCTGTGCACCATGATTCACCTTCTAGTAAGAACAGTTCACCTTTCAGCTCAATTCCCCTGGGCTCTCCAGCCTAGATGGACCATCCCCTCCTCCAACCTACTCCTGACTGACGGACAGGTCTCTCATCCCACGCAAGTTAGATTTCCACTTTAACACCGGTGGCGCATTGTGCTTCTTCATCTCCCCCAACTCTTCCACCCTAGGACAGCCATCACCTGAAGGAAGAAGGAAACCAAGGGAGGAGCATCTGACTCCCCAGCATAAAGAACATTCCGGACCCTTGATCGGCCCCATCCTGCCCTCAGACACCTGCTCTCTCTGCCACCACCCTTTTCCAGGACACCGCTGCCCTGGGCTTCGTGAGCTCCCAGGACCAGCTGACCTTGGAGAGGTGGGGCTCCTCATCCCGTGTCCCTGCTGCATGCCATCTCAGCTCCGATGCCACTGACCTCACCTCAGCCACTCCCCAGTGATACCCATGACAACCTCCAAGCACACTGGTGACCGATACCCAAAGCCTGGCCCACGCCYGAGGACTCCCCACGTCTCCATTACAGCTCTTATCTCCTCAGGTCACGGACACGGGACCCCCGTCTGTCTGCCCCACCAGGCGGGGAGCCACCGAGTCAAGACCACACTCACTCACACCTGCCACCTCAGGGACTCTGTGTCTCTACGCGGCCTGGTCTGCACTGATACTAGGTTTTGAAGGAATAATAGAGAATAAGAAGGAGAAGGAGTTTAAGAAGAAAGGAGAGGCAAGAGGGAAGACTCCAAGCGACAGCRGGGTGAAGGAAGGGCATCCAGACAGTCGGGGCCCTCCTCGATCCCTTCTCATAGAGAACCCTGCTCTCCCCCCCTTCCCTCCCTGCCCCCGCCTGCAGCCTGTGTAGGAAAGACAGGAACCTCAGGCAAAGCCCTGTCCAGGCTCTGGGGCCAGCAGCCCTGGGACACTGCGTCTTTTCCCAAGGTGCTCCGAC